GGGGCGCTGACGGGGCCCTCGAGCTGGGGGCGGAGAGCCGCGGGGGGGTGGGAGGAACTTCTTCCAGAACCTTCCTCTGGCCCAGGCTGCGCTCTGTGCCAGGTAAGGGACCGGACCGGCTGAGGGCCAAGGGGAAGGGAGGGGGCCGGGACCCGCCGGCCCCCCCGTCTGTCCCCGTCGGAAGTGGTGGGTCCAGGGACTGCCATCCGAGGAGGTGAGGGGAAACTCTCCCCGTAACTGTCCCGCTCCCTTCTTCCCGTGACCCCCCAGTCTAATATTCCTTTTCAAGGACCAGACGACCTCCTCTTCCCCCTGTCCCGTGCCCTGCCCTCCCGGACTCCTCGCCTGGTTTCCATTTGTTGCTGGCCAGGGGCGGGGTGGGGGCCTGATTTCCCGCCTGGGAGATAGGGCAGCCTCGGATGCCCCTCCTCCATGTGGCTAATAACGCCTGGAAGAGGGAGGAAGAGAGGGCTCCTGGGGGGTGCGGACACAGGGCTGCTGCTTCCCCGACCTGGCCCCCCAAGATCTTCCCCAGCCGCGGGGACTAGTGTAGAGGAGGCTCCCCTGGGGTGGGGCAGGCGTGCTCAGCCCCCCGCTGTGGTCCCGCAGGCGCCACACACGTATTCGGAGGAGGCGGCCCCGGGGTCGCAGGATGGGAGTGCGTGTCCGCCAGGCGGTATAACTGGAGCCCCGGGAGTCAGCGGGCCGGACAGTACGGCGGGCCACCCCCGGCTCAGCCCCTGGATGGTGACCGCCCCCTCGGAGAGTCCCTGCAGACATGGCAGAGAGCTGGCTGCGCCTCTCGGGAGCAGGGCCGGCAGAGGAGGGCGGGAGGGTGGCCTGGAGGAGCCGGACGCCCTAGATGACAGCCTGACCAGCCTGCAGTGGCTTCAGGAATTCTCCATCCTCAACGCCAAGGCCCCCGCCCTGCCCCCGGCGGGCACTGACCCCCACGGCTATCACCAGGTGCCAGGCTCTGCGGCACCCGGGTCGCCCCTGGCTGCTGATCCCGCCTGCCTGGGGCAGCCGCACACGCCAGGCAAGCCCACGTCGTCGTGCACGTCGCGAAGCGCGCCCCCGGGGCTGCAGGCCCCGCCCCCCGACGACGTGGACTACGCCACCAACCCACACGTGAAGCCGCCCTACTCTTATGCCACGCTCATCTGCATGGCCATGCAGGCCAGCAAGGCCACCAAGATCACTCTGTCGGCCATCTACAAGTGGATCACGGACAACTTCTGCTACTTCCGCCATGCCGATCCCACCTGGCAGGTAGGGGAGGTGAGGGCGGCGGCGCCCCTTCCCCACGCCTTTCTACCCTACACCACGCCGGACTAACATCCCAGCTCCTCAGGCCAAGTGGGGGCAATGCAGCCAGGGCCAGGAAGGGAGGACCTGGAAGGAGCCCAATTCTTGGAAGGTGCCTCCTTTGACTTTCAGAGGGAGGAGGGAGAATGAACGTCCAAGGGGTTCCGGCTTTAGGGTTAGGGAGGCTGAGGCTCACGGGAAGGAATTTGCATCCCTCCAGCAGGCCCAAGACCAGGCTGGACCGTGCACTCATAGAGCCTCTGCAGAGGGCAGTGGACTGAGGGCACATTCTTGTCCCAAGTCCTAGAATTCCTAGACACAGCCCTGCCCAAGGACACTTGGTCAGGGCAGGACTCAGGAACGGAAGCTGGACTGTGGCCTCCCTGCCAGGCTCTGCCCCCCACCCCTTTTTGCAGTTGGCTTGGGGAAGGGCTGTAGAATGCTGTGGGATGTGAAGCCCAGCTGTGTCCCAGTGGAGGGGGTGTGAGCCTCCCTAAAGCTGCTATCCCAGCCCCCCACTTCAGCCCCTCCCAGCTTCCTGCCTCCCTCCCTGTCTTCTCAGCCAGCCTCCCTAGGGGGACAATTACCTGCGCCAGGTGCTTTCCACAGGGGCTCTGCCTACCACACTGGCTTCGTGTTCCCAGTCTCCGGAACCTGGCACAGAGCAGCCGAGGGGCCCAGGCCATCTTGTAAACATCCCGGTCTTACCCTAGGTCACTACCCACCCCCCGTCCTGCTGTCCCCCCTGTTCTTGCATATGATTGGGAACAAACTAAGCACCTAAGAAGGACAGGGCAGCTTGGTGAGTTGGGCTGGATGGGAACTGCCGAGTCTTCATCAGGATGGAGGGCTTGCTGGAGACAGAGGCCCTAAGGGTGCCAGACTCTTCCCTGGGGCAAAGGGTCACAGTCCTACGTGTTCCAAATGGCCCTGACCCTGGGATAGTGCTATGCGGACCCCCACCCCGCCCCATCCCAGGCCTGTGCAGCTCAGGCGCGGGGGAAATGGGCCCCAGGAATGAGTGCTATGCTCTTGGCTGGGTAATAATCAACTGAGCTGGGGTGGGAGGGGGGCGTGAGGGTGAGGGCCCAGGCCAGCAGCCTCTCAACACGCCAAGAGAGTCACCAGCTCACCCCATCCCTCGTCCTCACACACACACACACACACACACACACACACACATACGCACACACCGCCGCCAGCCCCCACCCTGACCCACTCACTTCGTAAACAGAGGGCCAGCAGGCCCAGGCAGAGAGGTGGCCGTCCAGGCCCTGGGAGAGCCGAGGGCCTTGGCCAGAGGCCGCAGTGGCAGGGTAAGAAAGGGAGGGAGGGCAGGCGAAAGGGGTGGCATGGAGAGCCACCCTGCGGCTCAAAGCTCGGATGACTGAGCAGGCAGATATCCCAGCAACAGGGAACAAAAGGCCCCGACAGCACTCCGGGCTCCGGTGCCCTGTGGCTAGTGTCCCAGAGCCACAGCGCCTGGTCTGTCCTCCCCTCCCCTGTCGGAGAGAAGCTGGAGGGAGGGACCTTGCAGGAGCACGAGGTGCCACCCCACTACCACCATACCCACCGACCTCACGGTTCCTCCTCTCTCGTTCTCTCTGTGCCCAGAATTCGATCCGCCACAACCTGTCCCTGAACAAGTGCTTCATCAAAGTGCCCCGGGAGAAGGATGAGCCGGGCAAGGGGGGCTTCTGGCGCATCGACCCCCAGTACGCTGAGCGGCTGCTGAGCGGGGCCTTCAAGAAGCGGAGGCGGCCCCAGGTCCACATCCACCCGGCCTTTGCCCGCCAGGCCGCCCAGGAGCCCAGCGCTGTCCCCTGGGCCGGGCCGCTGACCGTCAACTCGGAGGCCCAGCAGCTGCTGCGGGAGTTCGAGGAGGCCACAGGGGAGGCCAGCTGGGGTGCAGGGGAGGGCAGGCTCGGCCATAAGCGCAAGCAGCCGCTGCCCAAGCGGGTGGCCAAGGTCCTGCGGCCCCCTAGCACCCTGCTGCTGACCCAGGAAGAGCAGGGGGAGCTGGAGCCCCTCAAAGGCAACTTTGACTGGGAGGCCATCTTCGACACGGGCACTCTGGGCGGGGAGCTGGGCACACTGGAGGCCCTGGAGCTGAGCCCCCCGCTGAGCCCTGTCTCGCATGGGGACGTGGACCTCACCGTCCACGGCCGCCACATCGACTGCCCTGCCACCTGGGGGCCTCCGGCGGAGCAGGTCGCCAACAGCCTGGACTTCGACGAGACCTTCCTGGCCACGTCCTTCCTGCAGCACCCGTGGGACGAGAGTGGCAGGGGCTGGCGGCCCCCCGGACCCCCCTTT